AACGAGGGCGACAATGAACGCGAAGACAGCGGCAACCCCTCCGACTACGCCCCCGATGATCGCGCCAAGCGGAATCCCACCGCCACCGCCATCGCCACCGCCGGAACCCCCAAGCGGCGGGAGCGGTGGTGGCGATGGCGGTGGCGGTGGCGGCGGTGGCGACGGTGGCGGCGGCGACGGTGGCGGCGGCGGCGGCGGCGATGGCGGTGGCGACAGCGACGGCGGTGACGCAGGTGGTGGCAACGGCAAATAAAAGTGATGTACTGCGTCCTCGAGCGTCATGGCCTGCGTCTCTATCCCAATCTGGCTCCATGCCGTCTTGAGTGGTAGCATATTCTCCTCGGTCCCGACACCGACAATGTTTCCACGAAACAAATCTGGTCCCGAGTTGGTTGTCCACAAGGCCAAAAGCAACCATCTGCGCCTCGCCATCTGCTCGGCGGTTGCCACCCCCTCCCCCTCCTCGAGTGCTTCACGGAATCGGCGGTCGAAAGCCGCCACCTCTAGCAAGCCCTGGAACACCGCCACAGGGAGCAGCTCGACCGGTGGCAGCGTAGACGCCGACTCGACAACCAACACGAACGCTGGCGGTTGTGGCGGCAGCGGCGGGGATGGTGGAGGTGCCAGCATTGAGACCAGCGTGAGATTTTTGGTTGTCCAGGTGTCATTGCAGAACAAGCCCCAGGTCGCTGTGCCGAGCGGTGGCGAGGAGGAGTCGCCGGTGACAAAAGTGTGACAAAAAGCAATGCCAGTACAGCTATAATCATGCCCGCCCCATGCACCAGGTTTCACGAACCACCAGGCACGTCCGTCGTCGAAGCAGTTGTGCTCCAAGTAGATATGGTACGATGCCGAGGAGTCGATGAAGTACGGTGCGCCCGAGGGGGCGTAGCCGGCAGCGAGATACTCCACATTGTTGAGGGCACCGTTTAGGGAAGAGCAGCTGTTTTGTCCCACCCCAGTGTCCGCTGTGGCCCACGTGATCACGAAAGCCGGAGGAGAAGGCGGCGGAGGCGGCGAAGGCGGCCTAGCTAGGTCGCCATAAAGGTACCAAGTTGTTGCGATCGTGCAGTCGCAGTTGCGTTCCCAGATCCAGGTGTCTCCACAGGACTCGTTGTCGTCTAGGCAGCGGAAGGAGAACTGCACAGCATCACTGTTAGCCTCTCCGATGGTAAAAGCATTAGTAGTCTGAGCCGTCACAGGGTTGCCAGCAGGGGCGATGAAGTCATCCGTTTTACCATCGATCTCGAAATACCAATACCAGCCGTGATTGGCGAACTGAGCACTCAACTGGATGTGGCCGCTCTCGAGCGTTTCCAACTTGTCCACATACCAACGAAGATTGGCGTAGCCAACTATGTTGCACTGTTCGAAGCTCCTTAGCGTCACGCTTTCGCCCTGATCAATCTTAATCCTCGCCGAGGAGTAGGAGCAGATCACGTCAGCGACCGCAGGCATCCAGTGAAGCGAAAGCAGCAGAGTTGCCGCCACTCTCATCCTGCAGCAA